TTAATTGCCTACTTTTCTATTTGGCCTTCTTCTATTCTTCTGCATTCAGCTTCACTTAATGCTGTACATAATCTTCCATATGTGATTAGTTCCGAGTTTGTGATCTTGTCTAAATCTTTTATTGTTAAACTTTTTGCTATATATTCTATATCATTTGGTGTACTAACTGACACTTCCTTAGTGAGTTTTTCTAATTGTGTATCCATCATGTATTTTGATGCTGCTGCACATCTACTCTCTATGAAGTCGTAAAGGATCATTTTTGCCATACTGTGTTATCTATTAATTCTGTTGATAATCTATCTTTGCTATATTGTTTGATAATCTAATCTAATTTTCTGGAAGGTTCTATTGACAGTTCTATTTATACTTTATACATGACTTTGTTGTTGTTGTTTTGCTTTGCACGTGCGCTTTTACTTTGTTTTGGCCTATTCTAGACGTGTTTGTTTGTTTACGTATTTGTGTAACTGTTAATGATCTGTGTTCGGGGTCAGGCCAAAATCCTCTTTTTTCTAAAAATTTCTTTGCAAAATTCTGTTGTTCTTGGATAGCTTGCTTCGTACAAGTTTTTCTTTGTTGCTTTCTAAGCTTGCTACCTGTTAATTTTGTTGCTCTTTCTTTTTTGTTAGAGTCACTTGCCCTGTTTTCTATGGATTTTGTTGAGTTTTTGACAATTTTGCTTCTGCTTGTTTTTGTGTTTAAGTGATCGTTGGTGAGAGTTGGATGCATATGACCTCAATTTCAATTAAGCTTTTTGCTATATGTTCTATATTAACTGAGACTTCTTAATAAGCCTTTCTAGTTGTGCTTCCATTATATATTTTACTACTACTACATATCTGCTCTCTATGAAGTTGTAAAGAATTATCTTTGCCATACTGTTATATCTATTAATTCTGTTGATAATCTAGATTTGTCTAATAATTTAGTTTAATTTTCTAGAAGATTCTATTAATAATTTCTGTTTGTTCTTTATACGTAATTCTGTTGTTGTTGTTTTGTTTTATATATGCATTTTTATTTTATTTTCTGGCCTATTCTAAATATATTTATTTGTTTATATATCTGTGCGACTATTGATCAGCATTCAGAGTCAAACTAATATCGCAAAATTTCATTTTTCTTTAATATCTTGTTTAATATAAGTTTTTCTTTGCTTATTACTAAGCTCACTAACTATTAATTTTGTTGCTCTTTCTGTTTTATTAAGGTCACTTGCAGAGTTTTTTATAGCTTTTGTTGAGTTTTTGTTAATTTAGCTTCTGCTTATTTTTGTATCTAATAATCATTAGAAAGAGTTGATCTGAATTGTAAAATATATTTATTAATTAAAAATTTAATATAAATATAATAATGTTTGTTATATTTACTAAAATTATTATTTGTAATAAAGATATATTATTTTATAAATTTTTTTAATATACTTGTATTATAGTGTACTCCTTATATCATGTAATTAATTATTATAAAAATGATATCATTATTACTAGTTACAGTATTACAAAATATTAAATTAAATATTATATATTCATTAAATAATTTACAAAAATTAAAAATTTATTGCAAAAATCAATTTTAATATATTTTTAAGAAAGCCAATTTTGATTCTTTAATTAGTCTAATCTCTAAATCTGATTATATATATTTTACCAAAATACTAAAGAAAATAAGCTAAAAATCTAAAAAATATATAATAATAATACAATTCACAAATAGTGATTTTTTAAATTAAATAATTTCTTGGTTAAATTAATGATTCTAATATATATATAAGCCACATCATCACTTACTATATTTTATCCAATTAGTAATAAATTCTTATTTTAGTTTATTATTAAAACTAAATTGGGACCTATAGGTCGATAGCGCAGTGGTTAGCGCTCCCAGGTCACAGTCGCAAGGTTGCGGGTTCGAATCCAACTGGAGGACAAGGCTTTGTCAGGACCACGACTGAAATGATCTTTGAGAGGATACTTTCTATATAAAGAAGGAGCAGGATTCATGCGTGCAGAATGCAGTCCGTCAGCATAGCCACAGGGTCGAGAACGACCAGATAAGGCGAATCCGTCAACAAATGACGTAAAAATTGAGTAAATCTAGTTTAAGAACGTGATAAGGACATTATAAAGTACGATCTGACTGGTGGGTCATGTGAAGTTAGGGAACTGCGGACTTAGATAACATAGGTTCTACACTGCGGAACCAGAGACCCAGGACGTCAAGAGACGGACTTAATGGAGCATAAGTTATCTCACTAGTTCGGTGATGAATCAGAGGCTATATGCCGACCGTTGATCTCTGCCAAATGATAACTCTGACCTTAGAGAGTGAGAGAAAATCCTAAGGTATCTAGAACCTTCAGGATAGCGGAAGGAGGTTAAAATAAAAAAAAAAAAAAAAAAAAAAACTAAATTGGGTTTTATAAGTACTAAGTCTCTCCTAAACAATATTAATAATAGTAAAATATAATAAAATATAACTACCAAATTTTAGAATTTAGAAGTAATATATTGCCACTTGCTATATATTGGGATTTTTTATAAAATAGGTGGGCAATATAAGAAATAAGCTTCGCTAATGATTAGTAATCATTAATTTTTAATATCGGAGGTGCAGAGTTAGTGGAGTTTGCCAACCTATTCTATAGAACATCCTATTGTACTATATGCTAATGTATGCCACCTGCTACATGGTTGTATGCTAGTATATATCACTTGCCACATGATTATATATTAGTATATATTAGTACAACACATATAGTTATATACTAGTGTATGCTAATATACCTTACATAATTGTATGCTACTGTATGTTAACCTAATAGTTATTTAAAAAAGCTTTTCCTTCTTACCTCAATAGACAACAAATAACAGACAAAACAACAGAGATTTGGCATACAAAATATTAAAGTAGATAATAAATAAAAACTATTAAATACCCTTTTAGAATATTTTTTTCTAAATATTTTTACAATATTCTCTTCGTTCTAATAACCTTATAATGTCTTTATTGTTTTTAAAACAAGTAAATAAATTCTTCTGCTTAAATCTTCTCTCTTGCTTTTCTTAAACTCCTTTTTAATAAGTACCACTATAACAGTATTTAGAGTACTATAAACTACTATATAAAAGACAAAGATTTTTAAATTTCATATTACAAAATTATACTGTTAATATATAAAATTTTAAACAAATTAACTTGTTTATAAACTATATATTTTGTTTTACTATATTTTTTGTATAAATATTAAATAAAATTTAAAATATATAACTGTTAAATGCTGTATTATATTAGCAAGTAACTTTCTATAAGACAAATTTATAAAAATAGTGTAGCAACTTAGTGAAGTGGTTAAGTTGTCACATCCCAAGTGGTATGTTGGCAGGTTGGGGTTTGAAACCCACCAACAACAGAAATTCAAAAAATTACTTATACAATAGCTGCTATCTTTTAACAATCAGTTGAAATAGAATTTCTGTAATCTTGGTGGTACCAACAAAATTAGAAGATCATAGAGCATTTGTACAATATATAAGTTATATAAAGGTTTGCAAACCGGTATTAGTTGATGCAAACCCAAGATAAGACCTTGTATTTATATAAATCCAAGGAACCAGAAAGTTGAATGCCTGATTGGCAAGACCTGAATAGAGAAGTAGCACAAATCTTTAACAGTGATTACTGGATAGGCTTCACCTAAGGCTGGCATAACTGAACAAGGACTGGGTATTTAGAAAGAAGGTACTCTATTAACCAGGCTGCCAGAATCATTGAAAGAAAAGATCTGCAATGCAGATACCAAGAAACTAGTATTCTACCTATACAGGCTGATGAAATTATTTTAGATTTTGAAGTACAAAATTAAAATTTGAAGACGAAATTGTTTTTGACCTATTTTACTTAAAAGACAAAATTTTTTGATACTTTTTTTGAAGAGACGAAATTATAAGGAATATAACTACCTAAATTAGATTTGCTATTGCATATAAAAAATTTCAAATTGCTCTAATGAAGACAAAATAGGTGTTTTTTGAAAATCTATTTCGGTGACATGTATAGTTTCACCTAGGCCATCTGGATTGGTAGTCTGAAGTAATCAGCTAGAAAGTACTAAAAGGGAAGGTATCAGGTTGCCTTGAAGGAGAAGTACTGGGGTTTAGGTAAACTCTACAAAGGCTAAGTAGGTAATGATAATAGCTTCAGCTTGCAAGTACTTGTTCTTAGACTTGGTATAAGTTACCGAAGTAGACTAGGTAATATGGTAATAGTGAGCACTAAACTGCTCTAGCAGGTGATGCACTCAAGGATAAATCGATTAATCATACTGATAGTCCTATAGGTAATATATAACGATCCTGGAACTAACTAATGTATTGCATGTTTTAGGTGAGGTTAAATAGATTGGTATAGAAAATTCAGATCAGAGCATTTAATTGGATAACTCAAATAATAGTGGGTTATAGATACAGCATTTAGTATAGAATCTAATTATAGGCAGATTACTTAAATTAGATATTCAAAAGACACAAGTATGGCTAAAATATACTCTTGTCAGAATATACTTGTTTGGGGCCTTTAATAAAGGCACCATATGATTCTATAATCTAATAATAGCAGAAAGCCAAAGAGGCTAACTTTGACTATAAAAAAAAAAAAAAAAAAAAGACAAATTCATAAACATACACAAATTCGAATTTATTTAAATTAATTTGAATTTAATTTATATAAATTCGAATTTAAAAATTAAGTTCAATTCTAACCTCTATTCTAGCTTTATACTTGCATTTAAACTTATTACAAAGCTTTGTATTCAATTATAACTGCTTAAAGTTACAAAAATAAATTAACAAATAAATCATAAATTATTTAAATATAAGATTTTTTTATATATAAATTTTATTATAGATTTAAAGATAAAATACTTCTATCTAAAACCTTTTTTTTACTAAATAAATTACTTTTAAGCTTCTAATAAAATTTATAAAACTTTTTTTTTAATATTAAAGTAACTATTTTAGAGTCTAGCATATTTTATTGAACTTTAGTTCGAATGCTAGAACAATCATATAGATTACTTTTGATTTTGTTACATTAACAAGAGTATATTTTAGCCATATCTGTGTCTTTTGAGTACCTAATTTAAGTAGTTTGCCTATTACTAAATTCTATACTAGATGCTATATTTATAACTTACTATTATTTGAGTTACCCAATTAAACCCTCTGATTAACTTAGTATCATCAGATATTCTTCTTAATGAGGAACT